CCATGTAAAGGTAGAGACAATGCGCCAACTAGATATTTACCATTTGTATATCATCTTTTGTGAACTGTTCATTAGACAATTTACTGACTGGTTGTTTGAGTTCTTAATTAGGTTTTAAAAAATTGTTAGTTGTTTTGGAATTTGATACAATTTGTTTTGATGATTTTTACCCTTGGTTCCCCATTTCTCCCAGACTAATCCCCACTCCCCGCCCACACAAATCTGTATCCTCTTTTCTTTCTTTTTTTTTCAGTCCATCAAATCCAATGTGTGCTGCCCATATACTCACTGGTGTGTGGCCATCCAATAGAGTGTTGTCAATATATCAGGAGTCACTCCCTTAAAGAAAACTGACTCTTCCTTTCCAAGAAGCTATTTTATTGTCAAAAGCTCAGATCTAAGACTTCATGTTTGCATCCCTCTCGGTGCTGGGATTTTGTCTAGCTTGAGCTTGTTCAGGGCTTGTGCATGCTGTCCCAATCAATTTGGGTTCACATGTGCAACTGTTCTGTCCTATCCAGAAAACATCCTTGAACTCACCCACAGCTTCTGGTTCTTACAACCTCTTCTATTGTTGTGAAGAGACACCATAACCAAGGCAACTCTTTTTTTTTTTAAGCCATGCGCCACTAACGCCCGGCTGGTTTTTTGTTTGTTTGTTTGTTTTGTTTTTTTTTTTAAGATTTTATTTATTATGTATACAACATTCTGCTTCCATGTATATCTGCACACCAGAAGAGGGCACCAGATCTCATAACGGATGGTTGTGAGCCACCATGTGGTTGCTGGGAATTGAACTCAGGACCTCTGGAAGAGCAGTCAGTGCTCTTAACCTCTGAGCCATCTCTCCAGACCCCAAGGCAACTCTTATAAAAAAGAACATTTCGTGGGGGCTTGCTTACAGTTTCAGAGACTTTATCCTTATTATCATGGCAGAGAGCATGGCAGCCCACAGGCAGATGGTGCTGGAGAAGTAGCTCAGAGTTCTACAACCTGATACAAACGCAAAAAGGCATTTGAAACCTCAAAGCCCACCCCCAGTGACACACTTCCTCCAACAAGGCCACACTTCCTTTTTTTTTTTTTTTCTGGAGGTTTATTTTGGATAAAATGGTTGAAATTACAATGATACTTTGTACTGAAGGTCTAGAAAATAATTTAAGAGAGTAATTTAAGTTCTGATACACTCCTAAATGGGCCTGTACCCAGGTCCTCAGAAAGGCTATACCTCCCAATGGGGATGCTTTTCTTTACAAAACATAGGTACTTTGGATAACAAAGCCATGTTCCACTACAAAATAAAGTTTTTCTCCACCATAAGCAGCCTACTTATACTAATAAATCTTTACAAAATTTTTCCTTTTTTTTTTTTTTTTTTTTGCTTTTTGAAAAAGGGTTTCTATGTGTAGAGCTGGCTGTTCTGGAACCTGATCTGTACCTCGGACTGGTTTCGAACTCAAGAGATCCACCTGCCCCTGCCTCCCAAGTGCTGGGATTAAAGACATGTACCACCACTGCCCAGATACCAATAGAACTTTCCCACAAAATTAGTCCTGCAGATGTGAAACTATCACATCATTAAGAACAGAATGCTCTGTACTTAGACATCTGTATTATGCAGTGAGCACAACACGGCATGCCTAATCAGGTTTATCAGTTTTCAGCAAAGCAACAAGTATTTTTTAAGTCATTCCCATTGTCTCTTCCAAGTTAACAGATGGTGATTCCAAGTTATATAAAGGGCATCATACCATACCCAGAAATAAAAAGTAAGAGTCAAATCAAAGCACACCAACTGAAGAGAACACTATCTCCTGTCCTTTTTACCAGCTTTCCTCTTCCCAGAGAGCACGTGCTTGGGCTTCATATCAAACACATAAGGCCACACTTCCTAATTCTACCAGATTTTTACACCTTGGTGACTAAGCATTTAAATATATGAGCCTATGGGAGCTGTTCTTATTCAAACCACCCCACATCTGTCCACTCCTCTTCTGCAGGGACCCCTGAGTCTTGGGAGGAGGGGATGTGATGTAATGTCTCATTTAGTGCTGAACATTCTACTCTCATTCTCTACACCTTGACTAGTGGGTGGGTTTCTTTTGTCATCTACTCCAAGAGAAGTTTCTCTGATGAAGGTTGAAATATGCATGAATCTATGGGTATAAGGTTAAGTCATTAGGAGCTGTTTTAATACTATGTCTTTTTAGCAGAATAATGGGCCTATGACCTGTCTAGCTACAAGATCTTAGCTTCCACAATGGTGCTAGGTATGGATTTCATCTCATGTATTGAGGCTTAAATCCAAGAAGAATATGGCTATTCCCATGACATTCAGGTCATTTATTGTACCGTGGGCATGTCTCGATAGGCCACAACAGCTGAGTAAGCCTAATGTTCACTTTCTCCTCTGGTAGCACGTATAGTGCCTTCCAGAATGAAGAAAGCTAGCCAGTATCCCAGTTCAGTACCAGCTTGATTTCTCCATGATCTATGACACAAGTACATGGTGTCTTCAGCAACAGACCTTACCATCAAGTTCTGGAAGGCAACCAAGAACTCTGGCAAGAACCTATAACGTTTGGGAGTCATCTATGGGCCCTTGCTGGCCAACAACAAAGTGTAAAAATCTTAGTAATTCTAAAAGAGGAAATTTACTTCTGGCCCTGGACTTCTTGTTAGCCTGTGGTGTCTAGTAGGTCTATTATTGCCCTGTCATATAGTAACTCTATTTTAATTCTTTCTATATGTGTGTCTGTATATATTTTAGGAAGCATCTATAGTAGTAGGTTTCCTTATGATTTTTTTTATAGTGTTAATCTTTATCCACATTCCTTCCTCTACCCTGTCCTCCCACCTACCATATTTAGTCTTTCTTGTCCCATTATTCCCCTTTAAATTATTGCAATTTCTCCCCTCCCCTAGAAACTGCCCCCAACTACATATTGTCCCCCTCCCTTAAAAGCCTCCCATGTCTCCTTACTAGTTCCTCCACCTCTGTGAATATTCCAAAGGAAACACACATATTTGAAGATTCAAAGCTAACATCCACAAATGAGAGAAGTCTTTCTGGGTCTGGATTACCTTAGTAAGAATGGTGATTTTCAGCTCTATCTATTACTTGTGAATTTTGTGGTTTTATTTTTAACATCCAAATAATATTCCATTGTGTAAAATCCCAGCACTGAGAAGGAGAAGTGAACATAAAGTCCCACCCTTAACCAAGAAACTATTTGCAATTGATATCTGTTGGCAAAGGGATAATTAGTTTTCTTCAATGGCACCATCATACCCTGCCAGATTCCATGGTTTTACATGTGTGCTTTTAAAGAATAAAAACATGAAGTTGGGTGGAGGATCTCAGAGGAGCTGGGGAAGGGAAAATAACTTAATCAAAATATATTGTATAAATTTAAGTACAAATTTAAAAATTCCATTGTGTAAATACACCACATTTTATTCATACATTAGTTTTAACTCTTTATGTGTATGTGTATATTTTAGGAAGCATCTACTGAAGTAGATTTCCTTATGCTTTGTTTCAAAAGCCTTTAGTGTTAGTTAATCATTTCTCATATTCCCTCCTGAAAGGTTTAGGCATTATTCTGGCCTGCCCCTGTTACCTGGCGGTATCCTCTCAGGTGGTACCCTGGTCAGCCCAAGGTTCCATGGGAACTAAGTCTACACACAGGTATAGAGGACCCCTTTAAAAGATAAACCCCTGCCCACTTACACTCTCTCTCTGCTCTGCTCTTCTCTGTTTCTGCTTCTCTTCTCTCTGTCTCTTCTTTTATGCTCTCTCTGCCTCTCTATAGCAACCAGCCATGGAAGTCAGCCATTAAACCTGTCCCCCTTCTGTCTTAGTCTCCCTACTCTGCCGGGCCTATAATAAACTGGTTAATATGTCTAAAAGTCTCATGTCTCATCTTAAGCCCCCTCTTCTATTTCTAATTTAAGCAAAAAAAAATGACACCTCCTGTTTCCATTTCCTGGCTATTGTGAATATAGCAGCAATGGACATGGATATAGAGTCCTTTCAAGAGGTAGGCCCACCAGTGGTATAGCTGAATCATGGGGTAGATCTATTTCTAGCATTGTGAGGACCCTCCACACTGATTTCCAAAGTGGATGTACCAGTTTACACTACTATCAACAGTGAATAAATGTTCCTCTTTGTTTACATCCTTATTCCTTGTGCTTTTTTTTTCTTCAACTTGATACAAATGAACAGTCACCTGTGAAAAGGGAACCTCAATTTTGAAATTATCTCCTTTAAACTGGCCTGTGTGCATGTCTGTAGGAGCATCTTCTAACCTGCTAATTGAGGTAGGAATGCCCAGCCTTCTATGGGCAGTGCCATCTCTAGGAAGGTAAGCTTTAGCCATATAAGAAAATTAGTTGTGGGTTCAGTGCTTAAGAGCATTGGCTGCAGCCCAGAAGTAGTGGTGCATGCCTTTAATTCCAGCACTCGTGAGGCAGAGAGGCAGGTGGATCTCTGTGAGTTTGAGGCCAGCCTGGTCTACACAGCTAGATCCAGGACTGGCTCTGTAGCTACTGAGAAACCCTGTCTCAAAAAAACAAAGCAAGCAAGCAAACAAAAAGCATTGGCTGCTCTTCAGAGAAACTGGGTTCAATTCTCAGCATCCACATGGCTCATAACCATCTTATACTCCAGTTTCAGGGGATCTGATGCCCTCCCTGGGTACTGCACACACATGATGCACAGATATACATGCAAGCCAAAACATCCATACACATTGAGTACAAATAAGTAATTGTAAAAAGGAAAAAGCAGTTATGTAAGCCAGAGGAAGCAAGCTAGTAGGCAGTATTCCTTCATGGTATCTGATTCAGTTCCTGCCTCCAGCTCTGGCCATGACTTCATTTGATGATGGACTGTAACCTGTAAGCTGAAATAAATCCTTTCCTCTCCAAGTTGCTTTTGGTTATGGTGTTTTCCACAGCAGCAGAAAGAAAATCAGGACATTCTTCTTTTACAGATGTGGAGATTGAAGATCAGAGGAATGACATGGTGTGTCCAGTTCACACATTTAGTAAGTATAATCCAGGTCTCCTGATATCAAATTCATTGTTCCTTGTAATTGACTTCTTCAACTCAAAAGGAGGGAAACATAGGTAGGACATTTTAGGAGAGGTCATCAGAACTATTTGCAGGGCTCCTGGGCTTCTGTTTGGGATTAATCTTTTCTTGAGCATAGTCTACTGTAACCTAAACACAGCTGAAATAGATTACTGCTCTTTTTTTGAACCCGAGTTTTCCTTATGACTCTTAAATTTCTGTTCATCATCATTTCCCTGCCATCAAAAGTGGCCCACACAGCATTCTTGTAATGAGTAAATGGAATGGTACAGATAGAGCACCTACAAAAACATCTCACATGTGCTAATCATCTGGAGACTGACAGTTGCAATCACTCTCACTGCCTCAAGATTCTCCAGCCACACTGCATCCTTTCACCAGCTAAAAATTGGGTCCCAAAATGTGTCTATGTCCTAAGCCCTGAAACATGTGAATGTTCTCTTACATGGCGGGAAAGGAAAGCATGGAGATAGATACTTGCTGACATGATTAACAACTTGAGATGGGAAGATCAGTATTAATTATCCTGGTGGGATTGAATGATCATGTGTGTGCTTAAAAGAGCAAGACATGGAAGGACATGAACACAGAAGACACTGGTGAGCACACAGGTAGATTGCAGTGGTATGACACAAGCCAAAGAGGGTCAGCAGCTATAGTTCTGCTGCAAAGAGCTGCTCTGTAGAGGTCATCTAAGTACAACATACATGCAGAACTTCCTAGGCATCACAGTGATAGCAGAGATATAGACACTAATAAACAATGCTTCCTTAAGACATTAAGATTATTGTAAAAACAATTGTTTCCAAAATTAATTATATTAGCATAATCCTGACCAAAATTACAGTTATATGCATGTTACAACTTGTTACATGGATTCTATTAGCCATACAGAAAATTACCACAAAAATATTTAAAGAGGAGAACTATAAAGAGGAAAGAGCTAAACTTCCAGATACCAAAACATACCACAAAATGAGAATAATTAGAATACGGTAACAATGTTACAAGAGTAGATTTATGAGTGACCTAGAATAAATAACAACTGTAAAACATCTACCCATATCTAAGAATGTGACATTTCAGTTTTAGCAGGGTAGACCAGACTGTTCGAGTGGTATTAATTCAGTGGGAAAAGTCTTCATATTAGAAAAAAAAATTCAGCTAGTTCAAGTTGATTATTTGTGTGTGTGTGTGTGTGTGTGTGTGTGTGTGTGTGTGTGTAAAACAAATTAAGAATTATTAGGCCAGGCAGTGGTGGTGCATGCCTTTAATCCTAGCACTTGGGAGGCAGAGGCAGGTAGACCTCTATGAGTTTGAGGCCAGCCTAGTCTATATACTGAGTTCCAGGACATCTAGGGCTACACAGAGAAATCCTGTCTCAAAAAACAAAACACCCCCCAATATTATTAGAAGTAGATATAGAACATTTTGATTATAACTTTAGCATTGAAGTTTTCCCTTTCTTTTCTTCTCTTCTTCCTCCTTCTTTTTCTTTACTGTTCCTCCTTTCCTTCTCTTTCTTCTAAGACAGGGTCTTTCTATGTAGTCCTGGCTGTTCTGGAACTCACTCTGTAGACCAGGTTGGCCTCAAACTCACAGAGATCTCCCTGACTCTGCCTCTTCAGTACTGGGATTAAAGGTGTGCACCACCATGCCTGGTGAGAAGAGCTTCTTAAACAATATATCAAACATGAAACATTGAAAAGACATCAGCATTCATGGGATCAATGTCAATACTACATAGCAAAAGCAACACCTTTCAAAATCCCAATAATGGGATTGCTCATTATTGAGTGAGATGGCTCAGCAGGTAAAGGTAGTTGCTGCCAAACCTGATGACCTTGGTCTAAAACCTGCAACCAACAAAGTGGAAGGAAAGAATGGACTGCCAAACGTTGTCTTCTAACTTCTACAAGTGGGTTATGGCCTCCTCCTAATAAATGAATGAAAAAGAATCCCAATAATATTTCTTACATAAATAAAAATAAAGGCTATTTTAAAATTCATAATAGAATAGCTCAGTAGTGGAGCATTTGTCTACCATATGATATGTGCACACCAACATTTATAGTATAACTCACAGTAGCCAAATTGGAAGCAATCTACATGTCTAGTCAGAGTATCTACTGCTGTGATGAAACACCACACCTGAGGCAAAAAAGCGATCTGGGAAAGAAAGGATTTATTTGGCTTACACTTCCAAATCACTGTTCATCATTGAAGGAAGTCAGTATAGGAACTCAAACATGGCAGAAACCCGAAGGCAAGACCTGATGCAAAGAACACAGAGGAGTACTTAGTGGCTCACTAGCTCCTCATGGAATGAATGTTCAGCCTGCTTTCTTTTTTTTAATATATTTATTTTTATTACACATGCATTGGTATTTTGCCTGCATGTCCATGTGAGGGTGTCAGATTCTCTGAATCTAGAGTTGTAAGATGTCATGTCAGTGCTGGGAATTGAACCAGGGTCATCTGGGAAATCAGCCAGTACTTTCAACCATTCAATCGTTTCTCTTGTCACTCAGTCTGCTTTCTTATAAAACCCAGGACATCCAGTCCAGGGATGGCAGAACCACCCACAATGGGCTGGTTCACCCACATCAATAACTAATTAAAAAATGCCTTACAGTTGGATCTTATGGAGGCATTTTCTCAATTGAGATTCTCTCCTCTCAGATAACTCTAGCTTATGTCAAGTTAACATAAAACTAGCCAGGACAATGTCCACAGATGAAGGGAGAGATGTTATATACACAAAATATAGCATTACTGGGCCTTAAAAAGAAAGGCAAAAAAAATATTTATGAGAAAACACACACACACACACACACACACACACACACACACACACACACACACACACACACGAACTTTAAGAACATTGTGTTACATAAGTCAATCACAAATGGACAAATATTGCTTGATTCCACTAGTATGAGGTCTCTAATGGATAGAGATTGGCAGTAAAATGATGGTTTCCCAGGGCTGAGGAATGATAGTGAGGACAGGGCTATTTGATAGAAGTAAGAGTTTTTATAAACAAAGACATCAAAGATGGGTGGTGATCATGGTTACATGATAAATGTGAATATACTCATGCTACTAAACCATACACATAAAAATGGTTAAAATAACATTGAGCTTGACAGCATAGGCCTGTAATACCTAGCTACTTGGAAGACTAAGGCCTAAGGATCACAAGTTCAAAGACTGCCTGGGCAACAGAGTGAGTTTTCGGCTAGTTTGGCTAACTTAGTGAGACTGTCTCAAAAATTTAAAAAGGACTTGGGCTATAGAATAGTGCTACAGTGCCTTCCTAGCACACTTGAGTCCCTCAGCTCACTTCTGAGTAATGGGGGTTATATCTGTAACTTAAAGATTGGCTATTTGCCTACCCTCAACTCAAACAAACAACAACAAATGCTTATGATGTGTTTCTAAAGACAGGACCATAAGGAAAATACATTTCTTGAAGTAGTGGAGTTTGAACAGAACAGTCTGTACCAGCTACAAGAACTTTATGAGGGGCCAGTTTTAGAGAAATGATTCCATACCTGCACAGTCACATTCAAAGATATCACCAAAGCAATGCTCTTATGGAAACAGGGTTTTTTTTGTTTTTTTTTTTTCGAGACAGGGTTTCTCTGTGTAGCTTTGGAGCCTATCCAGGCACTCACTCTGGAGACCAGGCTGGCCTGGAATTCACAGAGATCCTCCTGCCTCTGCCTCCTGAGTGCTGGGATTAAAGGCGTGCGTCACCAATGCCCGGCAGAAACATAATTTTTAAATCAAAACCTATTATGCCATGTATTAATTTTATTTAATTAACTTTGAGTGTGTGCTGTGGACACAGCTTGTCATGGTGTGCATGTGGAGGTGAAAGGACAACTCTGTGGATCAGTTCTCTTCTCTACCTTCACATGTATTCCAAGGTCAAACACAGGTTGTCAGGCTTGTGCAGCAAGCATGTTTACCCACTGAGCAATCTTGCCAATCCAGAAAAGTGAAATTTAAATATGTCAATAGCAGAAATTTAAGAAATACCATGTTACAGTTGAAGGGATTGAAATTCATCTAAATATGCTATCAGGAAAAAATTTCAGTTTCAGAAAAAGAGTACTGTCTAATTTTTGTTCAAAATTAAATATATTATCTTGGTATATTTTTATATGTGTCTATACATAGATTACCAACCAACAGAAATAGAATTTAAGATGTAATTAAAAACTATATATAATTTCAGATTTCTGCCATATTAAAAAATAAAAAGATTACATACACATGCACACACACAGTGTTTCTAGGGCTAGAGTTTAGTGCCTCACACATGATAAATATGTGCCTCACTTTATCACTGAGCTACATTCCCAGCCCAATAATATTTTATTTAATTCAATATATCAAAAACACTATCATTCCAACATGTGACCAAAATAAAAATTAAGATATCTTACATTCCTTCTTAAAGTACATTTTCACAATCCAGTGTATATTTGAAAGAAAAGACATCCCAATTCAAAACTAGCCATGTATGAATGTGTACAAGTATGTGGAAGGGTGTATGCACATGTGTGAGGAGTCTTGAGGTTGAATTTGGTTATCTCTCTCTAATGATCTCTACCCTTTTTGAGAAAGCATCTCTCATTAAAGTTGGAGGTCACTAATGCAGCAAGACTAGCTGGAGAATTTTTACATGGGTACTGGGGATCTGAACTTAGACCCTAATGTTTGCACAGCAAATACCTTCCTGAGTGAATCACTTTCCTAATGGGGGCTGTCCTTCTGTATATATGTTTCTCTTATTGGTTGATGAATAAAACACTGATTGAAGAGTAGCCAGGCAGGAAGTATAGGTGGTGTTAGAAGATGGGGAAAATTCTAGAGAGAGGAGTGGAGGAGATACGATGTAGCTACTGAGGGAGCAAGAGTCTCTGGTAAGGTAAGACCACGTGGAAATACTTAGATGAATAGAAATGGATTAATAATTAAGAAAGAGCTAGCCAGTAAGAAGCCTGAGCCACCAGCCAAATAGTTTATAATTAATATAAGTCTTTGTGTGTTTATTTAGGCCTAACCGGCTGCGGGACCAGGTGGAACAGAAACTCCGACCACTCTCTCCAGATCCCAAACTAGCCATATTTTAAGTGATCACAAGTAGTGTGTTTGTTAAATAAAGGGAAAGGTAAGGACTATCCATGAAAGTTTTCAGATTGTCTATATGCCATCCTATAGCCTTCATCCAGCAGCTGGTGGAAGTAGAAGCAGACACCCACAACTAATCACTGAACTGAACTGGAATCCAGATGCAGAGAAGGACAAATGATGAGCAAAGGGGTCCAGACCAAGCTGGTGAAACCCACAGAAACAGCTGACCTGAACAACGGGGAGCTCTTGGTCCCCAAACTGATAGCTGGGATACTAGCATGGGATTAATCCAGACACCATGAACGTGGGTTTCAGTGAGGAGACCTTGGAAATCTATGGGACCTCCTGTGGTAGTTCAGTACTTATCCCTAGCATAGGTATGGACTTTGGGAGCCCATTCCACATAGAGGGATACTCCCTGAGCCAAGACGCA